AAAAATGCAAAAAATAGAATAAGTATTAAAATATAATATATATAAATTTTATAATTTTTGATTGTATAGTTAATAATATAAAAATTGTTAAAGTTGAAATTTATAATAAAAACATAGTAAGTAGACTCAAACTTTTGGAAGCAACCATATTATTAATTTATCAAAAATTTATTAAGAGTTTATTAATAATTTATTAACTATTCATTTATTAAAAATTCATCAAACATTTATTAAAAATTTATAAATTATTTATTAAAAATATATATTAAAATTTTGTCCACTATTTATTAGCAATAAAATAATAAACTTATATACAAATTTCTCTAAATTAAAGTTATATTTATAAATTATGAATAATAGATATTTGACAATAATAAAATTTTAAAATATATTAATAAAAAATTTTTTAAAAAAAATATAAAAAATAAAATAAAATAAATTTTTTTTTGTTAACAAAACTAAAAATTTATTGAAACTTTAGAAACCAGAAAAGAAAAACTTCTCTAATTGTATATTCATATTATAATATATAAGCAATAAATATTATAATAGATGAATTCCTAAAAGAAATATATTATCTTGTGACTAGATTATCACTTTCAAACAAAAGAAGACTAATTTAGAATTTGACTAGTACTTGAAAATAAATCCAATTATAAAAGAAAGAAAAAAAGAAAAAGGAGAATATATTTGATTAAAGTTTATTATTATTCATATTTTCTATTTTACTTTAAAAAAAAAATACAAATTTAAAAAAGACTATATAAGCTTAAATAAGAATAAAGATTTTGTATTACAAAAGAGATATTAAAAGAGAAAATAAAAGTGATGTTTTTATTAAGTAACAATTGTTTTTCAACTCTTGTCTTATTGCCTTATTTTAATTATATTTTATTCAGTATAAAATTGCTATAAATGTTTCTTCAAGTGATAATAAGTCAAGGAATTTTTAAGAAAACTTTAGAATATAAAAAGAAAGAAGTTAAAGAAGAGAGATCTTGTCATTCAATAATTTGTTTTTCTTTATCATTGTAATAATTCCAGTTTAGAAAGAAAAATTTTAATATTTCTGATATGCATTTTATTGAACTTAATAAATATTATTTTATTTTTCTAGAGTACTATCATCTATAGAGATTAAACTATTGTTTAATAGATATATAACATGCTAATCAAGCTAAATCCTAATGACTATATATTGATTTAATAATTAGAAACAAATAATCCAAGGATCTTTTGAATTTCTTATGTATTATATATTAATAAAGAATAAACATGATATTCTTAAAGTATTATATTATTCTTATTTTATATTTCTTTGAGTTTTATTTTTATCTATTTTTTATATTAGAAGTAAGAAAGAAAGTATATTCTTTTTTTTTTATTTAACAAAAAATATAGAAATAAACTATATCCTGTATTTACTTATATTATATACATGTGACTTATAATAGATTTCAGGTTTTTATAAAGCTAAAAAAATATATTCAAATATATAAAATAATCAATGGGAGCTTGTTTACATTTTATTATTGATATGTCTTTACTGGATCAATCAATTTATAAAAAACTTTATATTACTTAAAATTTAAAATTAAACTTAGGCAAACAAAATTTCCTAGAAAAACTAAAAAAGAGCTTAATTAAAGTTCAAGAAAATAACTAGAGAGTAAATTGTAATGTATTTACAATAGTTCTCTTTATAGTGTTTCTCTATATATGAGTTGATAGAAAAACATTAGTTATTCTTTCTTTTAAAACTTTTTATTATTGATAAAAAAGGTATTTCATAACTTTTAAATCATAAAAAACATGTTTTTTGTTGAAAAGAAGTATTAACAAGTAGAAAAGAAGAGTAGAGATAACTTCTAAAGATTTATTTAGATTGATTTAATAAAAGTATTAAGGCTTTGTTAGTCAAGAAGTATGAAAACTTATTGTAAATATCTTTTTAGTATATGATCAGAAATTAGTAAAAAGTATTTTTTCAAACTCATAAGAAATAGAATAAATATTAATATATAATATATATAAATTTTATAATTTTTGACTATATAGTAAGTGGACTCAAACTTTTGAAAGCAATTATAATTCTTTAATTAATAATATATAATTATAAGTTAATTGTTATATAAAAGTTCATATAATATTGTAAATATTTTTAAATCTCTATAAAGAGTAAATTAAAAAAAAAAAAAGAAAATATAAAATTCTTAAAAATAAAAAAATCTTTAAATATTTAACAAATTAATTCTTGAAAATATAAATTGTTTTTGTAAATGTTTTTTTATACCGTATATAATATCGATATACAGTATTTATAAAGCGTGTAACCATAAACCATATCAATTGGGAATTTCTCCCGTGATGCTGTGCATATTATTATAAAAGAGAAACATTTACAGTATATTCACTTCATTAAAGAACGCGAAAAATGGATGATAATGTCGCCAAAAGGAAACGTATAACCGATATAGTGGTTGATACACCTAATAATCTGGACTTGGACTCATATATTTCTAATTATAAGGGTATGAAAAACACTTATTTGTCGTCGGAATCTAAACATTTTAACACATTTCGTTTCATTCTTAAGGACACACCAAAGTTGATCGTTTGCTATTCATAGCGAAACGATGTCCTACACTCCAAATCGATGCCTACAGACTTGCTTTACAAGAATTACGCGAAAATTCGTTAGATACCACAAAATACCTTCAATCCGCTAACAAACTTAATGAGATTTTGGTAGCCCAAGGATACCCATCATATTCAATTGATGGAAGTTGGGTAGATTCTACACAAAAACGCGCTAAGACTATACTGGAAAGGCTGGACACAGAGTTGAAAAATTATAAGAATAATTTAATAAAAGAAAGCATAAGGGTTGGTAATTGAAATTAATTTCGTTGCATTTTCTGAAAAATCGCTAACGACACAATCTGGAATTTACAGATGGGTCATAATGATCTTGGTGATCATTATTATAATTGTGGGAATTTGACAAATGCACTGAAATGCTATTCGAGGACCAGAGATTATTGCACTACAGCAAAACATGTTATAGAGATGTGTTTAAATGTTATCAAGGTTTTATTCTGAAAGATTTCTTGGTAACTCGGTCTACGATTTTCTAGTGATTCACATTTCCTAAATATTATTAGGTCTCTATTGAATTGGGCAACTTTTCTCATGTGCACAGCTATGTTATAAAAGCCGAATCTACACCAGATATCCAACCACTTGTTCAAGCAAAGCTCAAAGTAGCCGCCGCATTGGCGCACCTTGATAATAACAAGTATAAGCAAGCAGCTAACCTATTCTTAGAAACCAGCTTCGAAATTGCTCAACCTCAAAGTCAATATTCTGAGGTATCGATTTATTAATAATCCTTGTTTTATTTTTTGGCCTCACAATTTACAATGGATTTATACCATCGAATAGGTCATTTCACCAAATGATATAGCAATATATGGCGCATTGTGCGCTCTGGCTTCATTTGACCGTAAACAGCTTAAAAAACAAGTTATCGATAATGCCGAATTTAAACAATTCCTCGAGCTTGAACCAAATATTCGAGAACTTATTTATGGATTTTATAATTCAAAGTATAATTCTGTATTAACTGGCTTGGAAAACTATAAGGTATTATCCTTTCTTTTAAAATAATTTAATACACAGTGTAATTGATATAATTATACGATATTTATTTTTCGGTAGAATGATTTTCTGCTTGATATTCATCTACACAATCACGTGGAAACTCTTTATGATAACATTCGCAAAAAGGCACTGGTACAATATTTCAGCCCTTTCCTTACAGTAGATATGAATAAAATGGCTGAATCATTTGGTACAAACGTTCTAAAATTAGAGAAGGAGTTGGCCAAGTTGATTACAGAAAACCTTATTCAAGCGCGGATTGACAGTCATAAAAAGGTTTTTGTTTTTTTTTTTCTCCGATTGTTTTTTCTTCGAGGGATAGTAGATAACATTTTCCTCTTTTAATTGAAGGTTCTCTGTGCTAAACAGCAAGATCATCGGAGTAGCATCTTTCAAAGGTCCTTAAAGATGGGCGATGAATTCGAGCTAAGCACTAACGCGATGTTACTCCGTATGAATTTATTGAAGGCGAACCTTCTTGTGCAAACGGCTCAAAAGTATGAAATTTCATTTATTAGATTATAATGTACTGTAACTAATATTTGTTTATTCTATTAGGGGAGAAGGCGGAGGTAGGCGACACAATTGATGCGAATGAAGATTTCAGTTTGGAGCTAGGACAGAAAGTTTTTATTAATAAATTGTCACCACGTGTCTTACATATTCTCATGAAATATTGTACAAATCTGTGTATACATCTTTTAAAAGTGTCGTTATAAAAAAGACCTGATCGATATTTCAATGAATAATGAAATTATCTGTCCACTTTTAATTTGACTCGGACAACCTGAAAAATTCTATTACACCTTTTACTATTAGCCTATGTTCTACGGAATGTATACGCTCTTCTAAATCATCTAGTGTATCTGATTCTAGTATCGGGACTTCTTCGACAAGTAAAGGTTGACCCTTATCAACTTCAGGGACTACTTTATGGACCATAACTCCAGTGTTAGCTATTTCTCCCCTCTTGAAAGCCTCGTACGCACGTTTGATAGCATTTGCACCGTCGAATTGGTTTGGTAATGCAGGATGCAAATTGATAATGTGATTATCGAAATATTTTAAGAAGTCTTCAGATAAAATGTGCATCCAACCAGCGAGAATGATCAAATCTGGATTGTATGGTTTGATTTTTTTAGCAAGATCCACATCATATTCGACGCGAGACTTCCCTGCATCTTTATACGGCTTCAAAGGAAACACCAAAGTAGGAATATTAGCTTGATCAGCCCGAATTAGACCATACGCAGATTCTTTGTTAGAAACCACTAATTCAATTTTACAATCTAGAGTTCCTAACTGTATTGCATCAATTATAGCTTGAAGATTAGTGCCGTTACCAGAAATCAGAACTATAATGTGTCGAGGCATTGTCGGGGTTCGACAAAAACTTCGGAACTATACTATTTTTATCAACCAATCAATTTTTTTTTTATTTTAAAATTGATTAATTTATTATATATTCGATAAAAAATTTTTTTTAGAATTAAATATTTATAAATTATATAAACTTTCATATAACTAGCTTATTATTATAAAAAAAATTTTTTTTGTAATTCTTGAAAAAAGAAGTATATACTAATTACAATAATATATTTTATTTAAACTTTTAAAGAAAAGAAAACAAATACAAATTTAAATCTCAATAATATTAAAAAATCTAATATTAATTTTATTAATTCTTAATCCAATCAATATAGATTTATATTTTTTTAAATATTAAAAGAAATCTTATAATATAATAATTTTAATTGATAAATTAGTTAAAACTTAAAAGTTGCAAAATCCAAAAGAATATTAAGAACTTTAAAGCAATAGTTAAAAAATATAAATAATATTTAATTGTAAAATATAAATAATTAATATATAGTACAAATATGAATATATTCTAATTAATAATTTGATTCACAATAATAATTCATATAATATAGTATGTATTTCAATATAAATAAACATATTATACTGTATGTTTTAAATTATCAATTATTATTATTTCAAATAATAAATTTATTTTTATCTTTTTTATATATCCATAATTAAGCTAGATTATAATTTATTAATTAATTGAAAACATAAGTATATTTTTATTTGAGCAATATAATACATATTACAACTAATCATTATAAAAAATAAAAAAAATTCTTTTCGCTGATCCACATTTTTTCAAAAAATTTCCTTTTTTAGTAATTTTCTTGAAAAAATTACAAAAACTCTTCTATATAAAAACAAGCTTCAAAGGACACAACTATCCATTTCTAAGTAACAAAATCTATATTACAACAAACAAGAAAAGAGTTTCGCTTAGCTTGAAAGATAGATATTTCTAGGTCACTTTTGCTTTTAGGAAGAAGAAAAAGCAAGAATAAGCTAATTCACGGTAGACTTCTTGAGACCCAACCTCAATTTCACAAAGCTCTTAACCAGGCCAGTGCAGGTTAACACCTTTTTAGGTACTAAGAGAAATCTCAGAAGCAATAGATTATATTAATAAATTAGCACAATCTTAAAGCTAACTGAAACCCAGGAGGACATCCAAGTCTCTTTGGTCAAACAGCTAAAAGATCACAACAATACAACAACTC